TGGTTGCTGCGCGGCAACCGGAACGCGCTGCGGTTCCCAAACCTCCTCACAATTCCTAGGACCCTAGGGGTTTTGATCTTGACAACCGTCCTCCCGCCTTTCTGTCTCCTCGAATCGTGCTCTCACCTCAACGCAGTGTGCTTTTTGGGTCGCGACTCGGGTTCCCACCTCCGAACAACGTGTTCCCGCCAGAGACCCGTGCATTTTCGGTTCATGGTCTTAGGATGCTCGTGGCATGGTTCTTGGGTATTCTGTAGGCAATGTAGGGCTTGGCTGCTAGGTTCTCTTTCATTTCACGCACTGAACTTCGTAACGGAATTCTCGTAGCCATTCATCAGGTGCACTAAAGGAGCTTTTCTACACCGGCATGCAGCAGCCCGCCCTGAGTCGTCAGCATCTCGGCAACAGTAAAGCTCACGAAAGGTCGCTGCGATCGTGCTCTTTGCTACAGTGGCTCAACTTATTCGCTTGCCAAATCTTCGGCAACACAACTACAGCATGGGCTTACCCGTGGTCACCTAAACACAAAGGCCAGGCATGCCATGGAGTTTCTACAACCACTGCTAGTCACAACGCAGCACCTTTCCTGGGGCACTATGTTTGTGAGGCTCTTGCCTTCGCCTGCCCGTACGAACAACGCAGGCAGAGGGAACGAATGCTCTCTGGGCCAACTAGGCCTGTGCCTAGTTCTGGGCTCGGCCACGGCCCTAGGAGCAGCCACCCGGCAGCGCACGGCCAGATGCGGTGCAGGAGTCGACACTTCAATGGAGGGAAAGTCTCTTGGGACTCTTGGGTCCTAGGTGAGTCTGTGAAGGCTCCAGCACAGCAAAGCAGAGTACGGAATGTGAACCAACATCCTTGCGGACAAACTCGCTGCGGATGCATGAGCACCAAACCAGACTAAATACTGCTCACCATCACTTCGGGCGAGACCCGACTCGCCACCATCGTTGCTGCTATTCCAAGACTTCTAGCAGATTCTAGCCGCCGCAGCCAATCAGAACATTACCAGCCGGTGGCCTGTCAACTCTGATGGCATCGTCCGGAGAAGGCGACGCCACCAGAGCTGGCGCTTTGTCAGGTGAGTCTGCTCAATTCGGGCCACGGACATTGAAACGAGTAGCAGGAGGCTCTGTGGAACTTCTGGTGATATGCCCTTGGCCCTTGGCCCAAAGAGCACACAGGTTGCTGAAAGGGAACGAGGAGACGCAGAAGTCTGAAGTTGAAAGAAGGCCCCTCACGGAGGGAGCTTGAACTGCAGAGGAAGCGGTGTGATCTCAGGAAAGTTCATACAATCCCAAGCTTTTCTACGAAGTCTGGAGTGTCACGGCTGAAGATGTTGTGCCCCGTGCATCACTATGCCAACGCCAATCTAAATCACAACTGCACTTAGCTTACCGATGCATAAGCCAAGATGGCCGTGTTGCAGGTCAAGTCCCATCAATGAAGGGCTTCGACGGAGCAAGGACCACACGAACACTGCCAAACAGCTGGAAGCCCAAGCATGAGGTGGAGCACATACCGTAAGAGCACAGACCAGCTCAGTCTGGCACATGACTGCGAGCATGATCTTGGAAACATGGCATTCTTGCTCGGATGATACTAGCAGACTAGCAGAATGTAATGCTGGAGGTTGCATTGGCCACGGCAAGCCTTACGCGGTGTCTTCTCTTGCCTGCCCTGCTCGCAAGTGATACTGAGGAACGTGTACTATAAGGTCACCATGAAGCTGACCAATTGGGCTTGCCAGCTGTGTCCGCAATCAGGCCGGGAACTCTGTACGTGTGCGCACCTTGCCTGTGCACCGCTCACCTGCAGAATGGAAGCTACCCTAAGCCCTAAGCCCCAAGCCCTGAACTGCCTTTGCAGGGTGGTGCGGTGGTGCACTCAAATGCGGAAAGGTGTCACACTTGCGCCGGCCCCTTTTAGTCCTTCGCTCCGCTGACCAACGGTCCCCGATCTTTTGGAGTCTTGCGCTTCGGGAGTCTTTCAAGTAGCAGGGAGACTCTACTGTATCTTCTCCTCAGGTACTAACGCTGTTACAAACCACGAGGGGCACGATGCTCAATCTTCCTGACAACAGGCATCGAGACTGACACGTTGCAACTACGCTTCACCCAGTGCCCACCGGCCCCCCTCGCGACCGACCGATGCACACATAAACATACACGCATACACAGACATGTGTGCATATATATATATATAGATATATATATATATATAGATTGTACATAAAACATGCTCACACGAATAAATGTACACAGAGACATTATGCGCACATGCATGCATGCATGCATATGCACATGCATGCAGATGTACTGAAACAGTTTTACGTAGATTTCTGGCACTGCAAGTGCGGGAGCTCGAAGGACATCGTGTGGCAGGGCTGCGTGCAGTGCACACTTTGCGCAGGCCCCGGAAGAGCCCATCACACTTTAAGACTTTGCACTTCTCGTGGGATCGGCTCTTCCTGGATGTTATCATGCAGTTCTCGCTCCATGTTAAAGAATTGGACTAGCTCTGCGCGACAAGCACCTACTCGCTTCAAACGATTTCTGGGGTTGAATGAAGGCCACGTTCCACCGGCACCATTTCATGAGATCGTTTCTCATGTCTCTATGGATGGCTAAGGACTGAAAGAGTGTGTGTTGCTTTGTAGGCATAATTTCGAGAGAACGTGGCGTTCGTCGTGTGTCGACAAAGAGCAAGAATGAGCAAGCAGCTAGCCTGGGACCGCCACCCTGCACCCTCTCTTCTCGCTTTGCAACCTGCATCTGGGAGGTGGCTGGTCCCCAGGATGCCAGGAAAAGTTCGATTGGCTCCGCTCAGTCGTTCTCGCTCTGTCGCATGCAACATGGCTGGACAGCCTTCAGCGGACGTGCGCTTCACATCCTTGATCTGGAGATCGGAAAATTGATGGAGTGAAACAGTCCATCTGTTTCCCCCGATGCCACACCTTCCACAGGACGCGAGCAAGGTGAGCACTCGAAAGCGCCGGCTCTTACTCTGTTCCTCGCAGTCTCTCAAGCTCATGTCTGGCTTTCGCCCCAGCAGCATGTTATTCGGGCTCACTCTCGTCCACCAATTGAAACCTTGACTTCTCGGATGTCGTCACCTTGAGAGTAATCGAGGTCTTCGAACCAGCTCGAGGAAATCAACGAGACGGAAATCGAACAGCGGAGAAGAAAAAGCATGCACATCTTGCCACATTTCTCTCACTCTATGTATTGAAAGCCCCATGGAAAGACTGCTTACTGCCTTTGAATCAAGATTATGATGATGATGATGGTGATGATGATTGTGATAACGATGCTGATGACAATGATGATGGTGATGACGATGATAAAGTAGCACGACGACCCTCCCATGATGCTTGTTGCTGTTACCATTCTGAGTATCTTGTCAATATGTGGATGGCCGCTCTAGTTCGTTCTGTGTGCGAGATGGCAGGCGCCTGAAGGCTTGCGGAGCTGCCTTGTTCGACGAAGCCTGTGCGCATTCAACACATTGGCACCCTCTTCGCACTGCCAAGAACTTCAATGTGGACTCTGCAGTCTTCATTCCGATTGACGCAGCCCCAACGGCCCAACGGCATTCATATACTGACTCCTGGGCACTCTTAGCTGTGTGGTCCAGGCAGCCTCTCCGCAAAGCCTTCTTCGCCTCGAGCAGATGGCGGATGCTCTGAGGCTCTGAAAACAACGCAAGCCAGATCCAACAACGACACATGTCATTGTCGTTGTTGTGATTGTTGTTGTTGATGTTGTTGCGGGTGTCGTCGTCGCTAGGACTAGGAGAACGAGGAGGAACAGTAGGAGGAGTGGTTGTTATAGTTGTCGTCTTTTCTCACTTCATGTTCAGCAGCGCACACGGGCGGAATGGAATGAAGAAAGCCCAAGGATAAAGCCATGTCTCAAGGTAACAGAGGCTGTAGTTCTGGGACAAAGGGCCGTGTGCTTAGTTGAATGAAGAGAAGTGTGTTTATTGTTCATTGTTCATTCTAGCGCAAGCACAACACACGAGGCCGAAAAGAACCAGATTTAACTATAGCTGGGCTACGGCACGCGTTCTCTTGCATTCACTTGCACTTATTCCTTAAATCTAGGACCCTAGGACTTTTGCCTGGAGGAACACAGGCACGAAGTACAACTTGGAAGCAGAGGTTGGGTTTGTGAATCAAGACAAAGACATTCAGAAATAGCAGCAGCGGCAGCAGGAGGAGTAGTAGTGGTAGCAGTAGCAGGAGTAGTAGAAGTAGCAGTAGCAGCAGCAGCCCTAGAAGCAGCAGTATCAGTAATACACTTGTACTAGTAGTAGTAGTAGTAGTAGTAGTAGTAGTAGTAGTAGTAGTAGTAGTAGTAGTAGTAGTAGTAGCAGTAGTAGTGGTAGTAGTAGTAGCAGTAGTAGTAGCAGTAGTAGTAGCAGGAGTAGTAGCAGGAGTAGTAGTAGTAGTAGTAGTAGTAGTAGTAGTAGTAGTAGTAGTAGTAGTAGTAGCCGCAGTCGCAGTAGCAGTAGCAGTAGCAGTAGCGGTAGCAGTAGCAGTAGTAACTGTAACAAGTAATAGTAATAGTAAGCATGATAGCAATCGTAATGGTACTATTAGTGGCACTGGGACGAGGAAGAATAATAGGATTAGGAGTGGGAGTAGCAGCAGCAGCAAGCAGTCGCCGTCGACATCGTAGTCGTCGAAGGAGGGAAGAGAAGACCAGACATGGCATTTTCCTGTACTGTCTCTTCGTGCTGGTGGTTGCATGCCTGCTAGACTCACACGGCCACAAGTCTGCAAATCTGTGGCACCCACGCTGCACAGCGCCACACGCGGCGCTCAGGACCTTGTCTCAATCTGCCTCCATACTGATAAAACACTTCTAAGATCTTCTTCTAAGTCATTTTCTCACAGAGGTGAGCCGAAGACCGAAGACAAGAGTAATCCTGACAAGCAGGAACACACAGCTGCAGTGACCCTGAAGCACTGAGACCAGTGCTTCGTGGCTGCAAGCTCACCTGCAGAGAGAGGAAGAGAGAGAGAGAGAGAGAGAGAGAGAGAGAGAGAGAAAGCTGGGAGGTCGTTTAAGGGCCAGGGCTCACCCTTGACCCCGAGCCATGTCGGGCTCCCTTGCAACTCGCCGGGCCGACGCGCCCATCACCCGCGACTCCGCGGAAAATTGCTCCTCCTCCTGCAAGCAGCTTCGCAGCTTCTCGGACTTCTCCCACGAAACGAAAGGGCCCCCCGCCCCGCATTGTCAGACCGAAAGGACCCAAGGTAGCTTGAAAGGAAGTTGCTGGACATGCACTGCAAAAGCGACATGTCAACCATCGGGTCCCAGAAATTGCCCCCGACCGTCCTCCGCGTGCTCACAGCAAAGCAAAAAGCAAAGCACAGCGAGGCCCCGGAGCCCATGGGATGCTCCAAGGGCCAAGGCCACTCCGTCAGAAATGTGAACTGACGTGAACACATATTCATGGAACTCGAAGCTAGCTAGCAGTCTCGCCAAGTGCAGCCCTCCTCGATGCAGCAAACTCTGCCATGCAAGGACCGCGCCGGACCTTCTTGACATCCAGCTCCTCATCATCATCATCATCATCATCATCCTGGCACTGAACAGGCTCGAGGCTTTAGCTTTTAAGGCTTTGCAAAACCACTAGCAAGGAAGCCCACAACGAGGTTTTGCAGTGATGGACTCCCTAATGATGCTGCTTCTGTTTCGGCAAGAATTCACACCGAGCCCCGTGGCACCTGAGCTTCTGCAGATTCGCTCATGCGGCGTTCGAATTTCTGCACACGGATCACGGTCCCTGGGCAGCATGTTGTGACTCCGCAAATCACAGCCTAGTGCTGCCTTAAAGCTGACTATAGCTATCTACGACATCCAGAGATTTTCACAGAACGGCAGCGAGATGTAACGAGCAGAGCAGCAGGAAGGAATACATCGGCTCCAACTGTAGTATGAAAAAGCGGCTTCCACCGAGCGGCTGGGGTCCCAGCCACAGACCTGCTGCTCGGCCCCCTGGGCAAGGATCACCTCCGCTTCTTCCATGCGGCTCCTGGCAGGTGCGGCCTTCCCTCGCCGCCGCAGAGGCTGGGGCGCTGTTCATGGATTATGCTCATTATGCATGGCGCATGGGTGACAACAGGCCGGCCCGACATCACGACGAATCCCAAACCAGACCTCAGCAAGAAGCAACTCGTCTGTCAGAGGTGACAAAGCTTTGCCATAAAAAAGACATAACTCTGATCTTCTCCTTGGCGTTGTTGGCAAGACGAACTTGGCACAAGAAGACCATCCTCAAGCTGCCCACACCATCCCACAACCGTCACAACATAAATAATGAGCCAGTGACGGCCGGAGTCTCGAAACCATCCCAGCCTGGCCCCCACCAGACCTGAGTAAGAGAGCTTTTAACCAATCAAGTCAATGACTGATCCGAGACGTAGCTGCTGCACCTCGCGGTTGTCGCATTTCGGCATGTACTGCCATTGCTATCAGCACGACGACGACAACCGTCGCTGCTTCTACTGCTGCCGCCTCTCCCAGATGCGGTGGCATCTTGTTTGCGACAGTTTCGCCCACGATGCTTCAGTTTTTTGGATTCAGCTGAACTTGTTCGCGTGGCGTATCGATGCAATATGTTCTTGGCAGTTTCGCTGTGCCCACGATGTCTTGAATGTTTTCAGATGAGGCGGGACTTTTGCATGCCAGTCTGCCAAAATCTGCCAAACACACTGGAAATTGTCCGTGATAGCTTCGTTTCGACCACACTGCTTGCAGTACTCCAGCGCAACTAGGTTGCTTGGGACAGTTGTGTTGCGACCACCCGCATTGGTGCAGGTGTGGAGATCTTTGCCTTGCACACACGATGGTTCCAATTTTGCGCAAGCAGCAGGAGTGGCTAAAGTTCATTGCACTCATATTTAAGTTGATTTTCCGAGATGTACTTTCTGCACCTATAAACTTCGTCCTGACCGTAAGTGCAGAGCTTCACCCGCGAGTGCGCCACGAGCACCTTCTCGACGGTTCCATACCTGGGACCATGCGCATAGGCAGCCGGGCCCAGCCGTGCCGAAGCTTGGCCCTGAATGCGCTCGGTGCTCGGCCATGAGAAATGCTCCTTCAGAGTTGTGGGCGACGAAAAGCCGAGACCTTGCCAGGCTGGTCCAGACTCGCAGACTGTCCGGCTGTCCGGTTTCTTGAGATTTGGGCGGTTGATCTTCCGCACGATCAGGACGCGGTTCGAGTCCACCTGGAAGCTGGAGCTGGGCTCGGGCTTTGCCGCTTCGCTGCGAGACGGCTAGGCTGAGGCGGGTGCATGCAGCAAAGAACGCAGATGCATACCTTCTGCTGCCCGCTTCAACTGCTCCCAGAAAGAATCGCGCCCCGTGCTGCTTCGGCAATCGCATGCGCACTCATTTCATCACAGAGATTTATCGGAGGCTCAGTGACCCGATGGCGCACGCAATGTCTCACCCGAGTGATTTGCCTCCGGCGAAGTACCTGCACAATTCTTGCTGTTGACGTTGGTTTGTTGAATTTGCTCAACTGGTTCGTGCTTGTGAGATAGAGTATCGTTCGTCACTGCTGCAACTACTGATTAGAGAGAAGGCTTGCTGAACATCTGCTCGTCCCATGTCATGCGCATCTACAGTCCCGTAGGCCTGAGGCTTCGCCTGCGGTCTGCCGCTTCTTGGGGCCTCCACCTTAGAGGGAGCTGCATGGAGCTTCCAGGTTCCCTGGCACTGCGCTGAGGCACTTGCCTTTGCGTGAGTTAGTGGCTTCTTGGGCAGCGGCAGGGCCTGATCGCAGCTACTCCGAGCCCGCTCAGAACTTGAGGAAGACTCTCGGTCAGCCTGCTGCCGCACCGTCCCGCCAAGTCTTCCCAGCAGTGGCTCCTGCACGGACCCACAAGAAAACAATGTGCAACAGTTCATGACGCGGTTGAGTTTTGGTGTCGTAAATCCTCTGCAAACGCATGTCACAGAGGAGCGAACCCAGCAAACGACAACCTCGAAAAGCCAAAATCAGTTCTGCAAGGCGCTGTCCTTTGCAAGCTGCCGACATCGGGGCCATTGGCATTTGCTGTCCTGCCTGCAAGTGTCCAACCAAACGAGGTGCTTCTGAACTGCATGTCTCCAGAAGTCCAGAAGCGCGGTTTGAACCATCTCGAAGGTTTACACAATACAACAGCCTGGAGAGACACTATGTTGAGGGCAGAACCATGGCCGCTGCCCAGTTCGGAGCACCTCGTGGAGAAGCTGTAAACTTGACGCAATGTACATTCTGCGAGGTGAGCTTGACAAGCTTCGGCCAGCATTTTTGCAAGGATTGCCGGCCTGCCAATGGGCTTCCAGTCAGGCCCTTGGAGTACCAGCAAAAAGCAACTGTGACCAACGTATCGCGTGCAATGCTTCTGCGATGCGCCGAGCTGTCTCTGCGGCCCCTGCCGCAAGGTTCCCAGGGAGGAAAGGCATGCTAATGCCTTCACACACCATCTGGATGAATACATCGGCAAGGCACCACATTCCGGAACCTGTGACTCTGTTGGACAAACAGTGGCAAGGCTTTCAACCATCTACAAGCAAGGAATCTCAAAAGCCCTTGCACGTTGACAGCTGCTACTAAACAGACTCAAGACAGAGTGCCTGCAGCTGTTGCGAGCATGGCCTGCTGACGGGAGTCCTCGCAAGCTCTCGTAAGCTTAGGTCTCCAAGATTTAACGCAGGGGCGTCGGGGCTTCCCAAACTCTTCGCATAACTTGCGATTTTCTCCGGAGCTGCTGCGAAACTTCGGGACATCGCAGCCGTCCCTTCGACGCCTCTGACAACATCGAACCCCTTCCCCCGATAATAAGCTCCGAACCACAAATACCACTTACTCTGAACCCCTTTCTGCCTGAGGGGAGGCTGCCACTTGCAAGGCATTCTTTGGCCGGGCTGGAGCTTGCAAGAGCCACTTCCCCAATCAGCGCAACACATCGGCTTCTTAAGAGTCTTTGATACGTTGCATCTTCCGGAAATGACAAGGGAGTGACTATCGCTTTGACCAGCTCGAAGGTGGGCTGCCGCCGGGTCGAGCGAGGAAGACCCGTGCAACGCTGCCAATAGCCTGCTCGAAACGGCCAACCTACCTGGAAAGTGGTCAGATCGCCTGCCCACGGAAGAGCGGCGTGCCTTTCTCGGCACATAGTAAGGCTGAGGCCGACATGTGGATTAAGTTGCATGCAGGCTCGCACAGACGCGGGACTGTCGGCTCTCACAGATGCGCGCCGAAGGTGACACCATTCTGGCACAGGGGGGGGAGAACACACGGCGCTTGCTCGACTACGACACTGGGTCAGCGCTCCAAAACACTCTCATGAGGAGTTAAGGCGGGCAGGCAAGGCAGGCTAGGCAGGCTAGGCAGGCTAGACACAAAAACGATCACGACACTGCCTTGACCATTTCGGAGAAGTAGGCGCGAGCAGCCTTGACAAGCTCGACTGTTACGTGTTTGGACGTGAACATGCGTGTGTACTAGAGTGCACACATACTCACCTACGCACTTACATACACATACATGCATTCATGCATACATCCATCCGTCCATCCACCCATGCTCCATGCATGCATACATGAGTACACATATACACATACACCTGCAGATTATACAAAACCCAAATATGCGTGTTACATGCGCACACACCTGAAGATGCATGAGAAGATAAATACAGCGGCATAAAGCACAGTGCGAGGGCAGGTAGATCATGTGGAAATGCTGAAGGTGTCTGCCCAATCGTATCAGCTCATTTTTTTAGACGGCTGATTTCGGAGGCACGCGAGTGGCGACCAGCACTCAAGATCGTCAGGCGCAAAATCAGATAACCTCTGCGCAAAGTAGAACTCTTCTGCATTTATAGTAGGATAGTGAAGTGCATGCGAATCCGTGAGACTACGACTGTCGTAGCAAAGCCTTGCACAAGGTCCAGGCCCAAAGGTTTACGGCCGTGGCCGCAGAGGTGATCGTAAGGTCAGACACCACCACCATGATCTGGAGAACAGCAGCGGACATGCAATGCGTGCGGCACAAAGATCGATTCTCAAAGCAGCAAGCTCAGCTCGGAGTCACGACACTCTTCATCAGGCCATGTTCTTCGCACACCGCGACTGTGTCCCAGGCATAACTGTGCGAGAGGAAAGGCTCGATAGTGGCTCGGAATTTATCATTCTTCACCTGCAAGCTGCAGAAAGGTCAGAACCCCAGGCGAGATGTCCCGCTGTCACCGATTGTGTTGGCCCGTCCTGAGGTACCAATGGTGTCTTATGAGGACACCTGTAAGAGCACCCGCCTCGAGGTTGCGGAAATTTGTCTTCGCTTTTTGGCAGCTGAGCTTAAACCTGGCATCCGGGAAGCAGCCAGGTCCCTCAAGCACTCATTCTCCCTTGCTTCTGCACCCGGCTGCATGCAGGCACTGTACGTACCGAGTATTGTATTTCTACGTCTAATCTCTGACCATCGCCTTCACGACTGCCTTCCTCCTCGACACGACACAATACAGCTAGCAACCCCAGGCGAGGCATGCAACGAAAACCAGTGGACCGGTCTCTGACCGACATGCTGGCATGTAGCCTATGGTAGCATACACGGTTCGATCTGGCAGGCGTGCGTATGGACGGCTAGGATTACGTAGACAGGGAGACAGAGCGGATAGTTAGATGGGAACATGCATAATAGACAGATAGAGAGATAGACCGACGAACGGATAGAGAGACAGGCAGGCAGACAGGTGGAAGCATACAGTTACAAACTCTGGTGTACAGGCATAGCTCTCTCGCTCTCGCTTCTTCCATACAAACAACAGGAGCAGTCGGACGACCCCTCGGCACGCATACGCTGCAGCATTGGCTACGGCGGGGTCGGAGGCTGCAAGCACTGACATGTAAAAGGAAACCGATCTAACTTAATAGTTGCGAGAATTAGCTCACTCTCGCTCTTTCTTTCTGCTGGGCTTAGGGGTCGACGTGCGACCCTCAGGCCATAGGCCCGCGCAACCACCCACGCGCTCTCTCTCTCTCTCTCTCGCTCTCTCTCTGTCTCTCTGTCTCTCTGTCTCTCTGTCTCGTTCTTACGACCACGAAGAAAACGAGCTATCCCCCCCCCCCGCTTGAAGCCCAGCTGCGACATTGCCAGCCACAGGGGTTTGAGAAACGAAAAGACTCTCGCGCTCCCTCTCGGCAAACTATGCGTCCATATGCTGTGATTCGCAGATGTAAAACTGCTAGACGGAGCATGCACACGAAGCGACACACATGGACAGACAGAGAGAGAGAGAGAGAGAGAGAGTCGCAACACCTGTTCTAGTCTAGATGAGTATGTGCGCATACATATGTGTTGTGAAAACGCTTTCGCGGAGTGGAGTGACAATCACAAGCGTGGCTTTGAGGCTGCTTGATGATGTTGGACAACTTCTCGAAGCGGTAGCTGTCCTTGTACATGAGATTGCCAAGCGCATGCATCTCTGAACTCGTGTCTGGGGGACGGCTCTGAATGTCGGGGGCAACTTTGGCTGCCGGACTCCGGCAAGCGTTGCAGTCTTCCCAGCCCCAGTCCTGGATGGACTTGGTCAGCGCATGCGAGATAACGAGGAAGGTGTTCTTCTCGAAAATCACGATCTGGTGGAATTGTGCCACAGCGGCCGCAGCATGCCATCCAAAGTTAAGCTGACCAAATTTCTGACGAGTCCTACTAGAAAACAGGAAAACAGCCTCACAAGCCTTGCAACAATTGCAGCGTGCAGGCGCCTCGTCAGCTTGCAAAACCTGACACATGAAGTCCAAGTGATCCCTCGGTTTGCAAAGCAACTTCTGCAGCCAGAAGCACGCCCCACGAAAAGCTTGGGCTGCGACTGCAAGATCTGCGGATCGGGAACGAGCACTGCCACAATCCTGACAGGCTGCGTCGCCCAATTGAAAGAACTCAACATGGCTCTGCACAGCCGGCTCGACTTGGTGTTCACTTCAATGCCAAACCAAATCAGGATAGGTTAAGATAGCACCTGCCCGAAATCTCAAATTCTGACTGAGCGGTCACTGCAGGATGCCGCAGCGGCTCTGCAACCCTTCGGCACCCCAAAGCCCAAAGCCCCCGCACTGGCAACCCCCTGCCCCAGAATGGCGGGTCTTTGTCCAGGCTTTGAAAAGCGTGTCATCCTCAGCGGCTGCTTTTGACCAGCATGAGAGCGGCTGACCGGCCCATCCCCGAGATGCTCAGGATCGCGACCCAGATCGACGTCGGCAAGCATGTCTTAGCACAAACCGCCAGTAGAATGATTGGGAGACGAGTGTCAAAGCAGGACTGCACACAGACGTCAGCCTCATGCGAGCAATGATCGAAAGTGAGCAGGATGCCCTGTCTCCGTGCAGCCCAGGAGCCAAGTTTCGGTTCGGGGCCAGGTTTAGCAGCTCCTTTGAACATGTGTTTGGATAACGCTACGACCCGAATCCTTTGGAAAACGGCTCCTTCTCGTATTGCTTAAAGACCTCCATGCGCTTGCTTTCGTGCAGGAGATCCAACCTCAAGTCAACGTGTGACTGACATACAACAAAAGCTCTGCAGCACAGGACGTGCTAACACAGCATGAGCACCAGCAACTGCAGCAGCAGCAGCAGCAGCTAGCAGAAACGACGACGAGGATGAGACAGCCACCACTACCACCATGTCATCGCAACCAGAACAACAAACACTACAACCAACAGCCACAACAATGGCGAAGGCGACGACGACGATGACGACTCGGACGAGAAACCTCACTGCACCGCACCCCAACGTGTTGTGGCAGCAGGAACTACCAAGACAGCGACAGCGACGACGACGACGACAACGACGGCCACCGCGCCACCACCACCACCACAGCATCAGCATCAGCATCAGCATCAGCATCAGCATGAGCAGCAGCAGCAGCAGCAGCAGCAGCAGCAGCAGCAGCAGCAGCAGCAACAGCAACAGCAGCAACTACCAACAACAACAACAACAACAACAACAACAACAACAACAACAACAACAACAACAACAACAACAACAACAAGGTCACGACAGCGTAACGGATCCCAGGGTTTTTGTGGTTTTAGACAGCGAAAACGCCGCTCCCACCGGCAAAGTTGGACTTGGCGGGGTGGGGGGGAGGGGGGGTAATAGGGTAATGTTTTGAAAACGCGACTTTCGGTTTTTTCATTTTTTTCTTCAGAAATAGGGTTTCGCTTGGGTTTTGGACACGCCTGCGTGCAATAAACTGTTTTGACAGCAGCGAAAATGGCTCTTGAAAAATGAGGATAATTTGGTGCTGTGCGCTTTTAGCACATTGGCAGCGTTCTACATGACTAGCAAGATGCGTTTTCGCTTGGGTTTTTGCGCATCACAGGATTGCATGTACTTGTCTTATGGCCAAAAAGCGAACAACACGGAAACTGCAAAACATGGGATCCGATCACTTTAGCAGCAACAAAACATGTACGGGCAACAACAGCATCCACAGCAGAGCAATGGACGTGATCATGGTTGGCCCATGGATGCTCTGCGGCAATGGATATGGTCTGATCTGGACGTGATCATGGTTGGCCCATGGATGCTCTGCGGCAACGGATATGGTCTGATCTGGATGTGATCATGGTTGGCCCATGGATGCTCTGCGGCAACGGATATGGTCTGATCTGGACGTTAACATGGTTGGCCCATGGATGCTCTGCGGCAATGGATATGGTCTGATCTGGACGTGATCATGGTTGGCCCATGGATGCTCTGCGGCAATGGATATGGTCTGATCTGGACGTGATCATGGTTGGCCCATGGATGCTTTGCGGCAATGGATATGGTCTGATCGGGACATATATCATGGTTGGCCCATGGATGCTCTGGGTGAACGGATGGGGTCTGAGTGGACGTCAACATGGTTGGATGCAGCCGAAAATCGCGTTTTCTAAAAACGGCCTTATGACCCCCACCCCTCCGAGGCCGACTTTGTCGGCAGGGCCAAGGTTTTCGTGGCCTGACAAGGCGAAAAGCATGGGATCCGTTACACAGCCGTTCCCAACAACAACAACCACAACAACAACAACAAGAACAATCACAACCACAACGACCACGACGAAAAGCATAAGAGAGGCAACAAGCGCAGACACAACACGCGCGCCTGGCTGCCAACGAATACTTCGATAGCGACAACGGCCACACGAACTGTCGTGTCCGCAGCAGCCGGGCAGCCGCAGCGCAAGGAAACTGCAGCAAGTCAGCGACACCACCAGCATAATGACAACATGGAAGCAACAAAACACCGCAACGATGCCGACAGACAGCGAAACGACACCGCGCTGCAGCTGCAGTCCTCTGTTCTGACGTCAAGGCCGCGACTTGTGGATCAAAGCGAAAGTCACAGCATTCGGCGAATGCGTGGCCAAGGAATCCTAAGAATTCTCGCTTGGGACTTGCAATAACTCTTTCAGCATTATCCCTGGCTGAGGCCACAGCGCAAGCTGCCTTAAAGTACTCGATGTCCTTTTGGCGAAGCGCCCACGAGGGGTCCCCCAACAACGCGAGACATGCCGAGCCCCTCGGCAGCAGTGTAGCAGCGTCCTTCTTTCTTTCGTCCACTTGGGTGTGCTGGTCTCTCACTGCCACAAGGACATAGATGAGCACCTCTGAACACATATATCACTGCTGCTGCAAACACGGAATCCTGCAAACTCCTCTCTGAATGTTGCATTGATTCATGGTTGTAGGCTTGGGGCTTGGGGTACAAGACGCATGCAGCCGCGTGCGGCACCAACCGACATCAGGCCTCGCAGTGCTGGAAGATGTTTTCACGCTGCGACTCGAAATAATTCTCCATGAACTGGTCTTGTCCTGGTGGAATTCCAAGTTTCGAGCAGCTACGAGAAGAACATCAGCCACCTTTTGAGCAGCACTCCAAGCTTCAGGCATTAATCCTTAAACCCCGGATTCATCAATATTCCAATCACTCCAAAGAGTTGAAGGATGATGCAAGCATTGACTGCAATTGAAGAAGCGCGCGTGGAACACCCCGTCGTGAACAGTTTAGGAGCTTCGCGGAATTCAAGTCACGAAGCAGTGCACGAATGAAACTTTCAGGCTCAAGGCTTCGCGCTCAAATCCAAGATTTAGTTCGATAAGGCTTCCGGGCCTCCACAGTCCCAGAGATTGAGGCGAAGGTTGCCCAAGAATCGGAGCCTGGGCATGTCTCTGTGCGAGCACGAGGGTGCGGGTGGGTGGGTGGGCGTGCGGGCAGGCGGGCGGGCGGATTTGCTTGTTTGCCTGCGTAGATGCACACATTTGTATGTCTGCATATATGTATGCGTGTGTCTGAATATGTATCAAACAAGCAAATAAACAAATGAGCAAACAAACAAATTCAACATAAACACTATATATATACACATGTATATGTATATATACACACACATATATAGTGTGTACAGATTATGATTATGAACTTAGTATGTAGCCGTACACATATATATATATATAGATAGATGTATGTATGCATGTGTGTGTGTGTGTGTAGATGTATGAAGTGTATGCATATAAATACAAGGAGCCAGCCTTATGCATGACTTCACCAGAAAACCGACGCTGGACATGCCAACGGCAGCTTCTTTCGAGAAGCTTCCTTCAAGTGCAAGCCTCGGAGAGGTGCGATCTGAGTCTCCAGCGAGTTGTGCTCTACGTGGTTTGTCGGTTGGAGCAGCTTGGTGTCCTGCCGCCGTCGACTCAAGGGAGACTCAAGATGGCCAGGCGTGGCCATCTGCCTTGGAATGATAGTTAGCGAAGATGATGGACTTCATCGACGTCTTTCCAGCCTCGGCTTCGAAGGCTTACGGCTGTACACGAAACGAGCCTGATCTCGCTCCGGGGGCCCAGCGCCCGCACGTCCCATGAGTAATACCTCGCAGCTCTTCTCACCCAGAGCGTTCACGACGCTTTTCTGGGAAGCCGTTGAGCTCTGCGATACGCTGAAGCCCTTCCTTGGCCCCACTGACCGTGTGCCTTGAATCCATTGGCAGTCGTCGCCATGGCACTTAGGTCGTACTTAGGCAATGATCTGTACTAGCCGCATGGGCACAGCGCCGGAGCCATAGAGATGGCAAGTTCTTCCTTGGATTCATGAGGCGCCTTTCTGCCTGGGTTTCTCCTTCGGGCGGTTACGATCAGTGAGGCGGGTGGTTTTCATCTCTGAAGGAAGGCATTGCAGTGGAGCCAAGAGCATCATGATCACAGCCACACGTCGAGCAAATCCTAGCACAGGACGGGGGGTATAACCTAATTTCGAAGCACGAGCCACTGTTTGAGGGGGGCTCTGGAGTGGTGTTGATCGCTGGTGGCCAATCGATGCACCTTGGCATTGTCCACTATGGGACCCTTCCGTTGCAAGGTGCGCTCCTGCATGATCTTGTTCACCTTGTCGACGCTGGCCTTGGCAAAAAAGGGTGTAAAACGCTGTGGTCGGCGGTCGGCTCAGAGGCATCGAAACCATAGAGGCCTTGTTCTGGCTCTGCAGGAGCTCCGCCAGCCTGGGCGCAGATCTCAAGCCGTGACCGCCTGCTCCTCTGCAGTGCACTGCAGTGCACCTCCAGCCTCCAGCCTAAGCCCGCCGCCACTTTAGCTTGTCGGGGCTATCAGGCTTTCCAAGCACCTGGCAAATCGATTCTTCTGTCAGCTCGCCTGGACTCCTAGAGTCCTAGACAAAAGGTTGATGATTCTGGTGGCACGGGCACGAGCTTGCATGTGTGGTTAACGGCTCGGCTAATGCGCGAGAAGGAGCCTATCTTTAGATTACTGTCGATCTTTAAAGAGGGGAAGACACCTACGCGACTGGAACCACAAGACCACACGCTTCACACCGTAAGGCCTTCCACTTTCAAGCTCAGGCCCGCTTTGACAGCATAATTGCTTGGTTCGTTTTGGCACTCTTGCGCCATCTAATCTAAAGCATGGAAACGCAATCGACGAATGCAAAGCCTTCCCCCGATGTGAGCAGTGAGCAAGCCTAAGAATTGCCAAGCATGACATTCGAAGCTGTCGTAGACGCTCTTCTGGTTCACTCTCTTCAAATCGAGGACTGCTGTGAGATCCAGGCTTTGTGCCTGGGATACCTCGTGCTATGCTAACGCCAGCATATCCATGTCCGATTCGGGTATGGCTTGTCCGTGACCCAGATGTTCAGGGCATACCTCAGGGAAACCGCTTCATGGATATCTCTGCAACTTGAGAGCTTTCCCGGAAAAGCAGCTCCAAGCATGCCATCATGATCACAGAAGCAAACTCGCACGTCCAAGCAGCTTGATGACGCCGTCCTGGCGAGAGGCGCTAGGGGCGCTAGGGTTGGGCGAACACCGGACACCACCGGACTTGGGACCGGATCTTCGCAGCCCTGGCCTGGAGCACAGGATTCGCCAAATGGCTGGTCTCCATGGTGGGAACTCCCTGCGAATTCACCTCCGCCCACTTTGCACAATGACAAGCCCAGGCCTGGGCCTAGAGATGCTCTGAGGCCCTCGAAGCCGGGTGTTGAGACCTCTGAGTGCAGTGCATTGGTCCAGATGGCCGCCGAGCCCTGTACAGGACGGACCTCGGATTCATCTCTTCGTCTCTTCTACTTAGTCAATCTTTCATGGTAACAACTACAGTATCCCTTCCAGTTCTCTTTTGATGCAGGGCTGCTGCACCCCTCCTCCCCACGGCCCCCCATGGCATCCCACCCCCGCGCCCGTCAAGTGCGTGGTTTTCTTGTTTGGCCTTGTTGCTTTCCCTGTCTTCCTGGGTGGTCTTGTTATTGTTTGGTCTTGTCCCCTCCTCCCCTGTGGGGTGGGTCCTGTGGTCTTTTTGGTTGGCACCGCCCAGCCTGTGCGGGGGGGGGCGGGTTGTATGTTCCACAGAAGTAGGGCTGCAGCCTGTCGTCCTTACGTGCCGGTTGCCCTACTAGAAAATTTAATGATGCCCTTTTTCTTGCAGATGGTGCCGCTGTCCCTGCTCTGCTGCGGTTCTCTGCTTCTCCGTTGTCCTCCCTCCTGTGGAGGCTCGTTCCGGTTGTGCGGGACCGCTGGGAGGGGCCGGGGGTGGGTCGAGGGCGGGCCGGAGGTCGGTGGTCGGGGGGGATGATACCCTTCAAGGGGAGGGGGGAGGGAGGGGTTAGGGGGCTGGGACCCGAGAGCATTTTTTCGTGGCCCTTGGCAGGAACCCTTACTGTATCTTTGGATAGTTTGAGAAGCTTATGAAAGCCTGTGCGTTGCCTTCAGTAGTAATCTTATTCGTACTACTATTGCTGCAATTATTGTTCTTATTGCAATAAGCGCTAGCACTTCAACTAATCAGGATTAGTACTAGCAGTGATCAGGTATCAGTATTCCTATTCGTACTAGCTACTAGCAACATTAGCAGTAGCATTGCCACGACCACTGTTACTACTAATACTTTCACTGTTTCTGCTACTATCACGATCAACTGCTAATAAATACTATCGCAATGGTTACTACTACTAACTAGCGTTTGCAGTCGGAGTCTTTGTGTTCTTTTTGATGCCGGGCCTTGGCATTCAGGGCCAGGAACTCCGTCTCGCCCCCTGCCTCGAGCAAGCGGCGAAGCTCCGACGTCTTCTCTCAGTCTCTGTGGCGCGCTCAGAAAAGAAGACCCTCTTGTCTCGACAAGGGGCGCCCTCTGGAAGAGTGTTCAGGTAGACAAGGATCGTTGCCACCTCGGCAGAAACGGACACTCTGGGCTGGAAACTCACGAGCCTGAAGGGTCCGGAAAGGCCTGGCCCCATGGCATCCCTGCAGTGCCAAAGGCAAAACAAGCCCGGAACTCCGCTCCGCTATGCTCCGCCAAGCTCTCCAAGCGACTCGCTGGCCGAAGATGTGAAGCCCATTGAAGTTCGCTGGACGCCAGTCCACGTGCCTGAAAGTGTGCCCGCTTCTGCTTTGCGTGTCCACAATCGGGTTCAGTCGAGTTTAAAGAGTAAGGCTGGGGGCTTCAAGCCTGTGGCTCATTAGTGAACGAGCAGAGCCAAGGCTCTTCTTGTACTCCTGACCTCGGCCATACCGCGCAATCCTTGGGTCGGACATCTTCTCACTGAGAGTCAAGAGCAGACGAAGGGCACAATTGCTTAAGATCATGATCTTTGGCCCAGGGTCTGCAATGGCTCGACATATTCCGCCGGCAAGCCCAGTGTCTCAGCTGCCCATCCTCCTTGGAACGGCCAAGGGTGGGTAGCACGGGTAGTGTACCACTGTGGAAGCTGAAGATTCTGCGCAGCGATGCTTTGGCAACATAGTGCATACGATGCCCTTATACCGGACTAGCAAACGCGAAATCGGACCAAACGGCGGATCGCATTCAAGGTCTCATCTTCCTGAATCAGGGACGGGGCGGGACCATTCGGTCAGCCGTCTGTCTTCCCAAAGCAAAAATGCCCCCTGGAAGTCCAACGGACCTCATGGTGTGGAAGGTTGAAGGTGGCAGTTGCCTCGTGCCAGGGGTTGACGTACACACCCTGTCTACAGCTCGACTGCAAGCCATCGACAAAACCTGAACCGAGACTGTTCTGCACAAAATCCAGAGCCGAGACACCGAAGTTCGCACGTGCTGAAGCGGTAGCTGGGACGTCGTTGAACTCACCACGGTAGAAGATTCCCAAAGCGCCTCTGACATGGGCCCGTGGTCACAAGCGCAGGAGACGCTAGAGAAACTTTATGCATAACAGCGTTGAATATGGCAAAGCCTATGGCAAAGCCTACGGGCCTAAGCCTGCAGTACGTGTATTCTGTATTTCCCGATGCGCAAGTTCGTAAGGAAGCCTCCGCCTCGAACGTTGGCCCTGGCGCTGGCGGCCTCCTCGTCGGCCTTGCGGATCAGCGAGGTGCAGACATCCGGCGGGAGCGCACGGTGCATCAGCATCCTCAGGACTTGGACCAACTCAGACCCCTGTTCACCCTCACAGCCACAGATAAGCGCTGAACGCCCACTACGACAGCTCCTACAAGCTCTAGATTTTAGCAGCTGCAGGCTGCGAGTTTGCGAGCGTGAGGTGCAATGAGCACTCGTGGTTCGTCTTTCGGATGAGGTGAGATTCCTGATCGTCTTGGATTAGTGATTTTGTCCTGGGTGCTCTGCTTTCTCTGCTGCAGCATACCCACAGCAGCTAGTAGAAACTTTATTCTCGAAGAACAAGCATCCCCGTGGCTTCTCGGCTCTGGCATCATCTCATCAACTTACAAGCCTCCAGCTGCATCACAGATGCACTGGAAACGGCTCCAATGCCACAGTGGTCATTTCGTTCCTTGGCCGCAAGACGTATACAAAAGTATTGCTTCGACAGCCAAGCACATGCAGATCGCTTGGACTCATTGAAAGGCCGTGCAAGGCAATAGAACAAATCTGCGACCCCAGAGACGGTTGCATCGAGCTGAAGCTCTTCACCCTCGGCATCACTGGCTAAGGCCGAAACGGATCGACGAAACAGCAGAAGCTCTGAATCCCTGTCTCTCTCTCTCGGTGGCCTTGTCCACAGGCTTTGTGCCAGCTGGCTATCCACGGTGTAAGATGCTGGACCGAAAACTCCGGATGCATTGAAGCCTCGCGAGACCGGAGAGCAGCACCCTGCCCTATTTCTGCGGAACAGCGCACTGTCACTCTTATCCAAGTTTCCATTGGAGATTCGCTGGGGACGCGAGAAACCTTCTTCGGGTTGCAGTTAAAGGTCACGCCACACCCATGCTTCTTGACGCAGACCGGGTGCCCTGTTTCTTGCCCATGTTGCACTTTGCAAGTTGAGCAAAGATGCACTAAACGAGTGATCAACTTAGCGGGTCAGGTGAACCTGACACGAAGGCGGCCGTGCAAGCATTGGGGAGTGAGGACTGCACAAACAGGCCCTTGGCATACATAGCATGCCGACACCACTACCAGTGGGCTTCATGCCTGTCAACGGAAGTGACACGGCATCCGTCCTGAACTCTTGAACATTGCTCGGATGCTCCAGACTTCCCTAAAGCCTTCAAGCAGAAGCTAAAGCCAAGGAGCCGAGGTTTCCGCACGCCCAACTGAAGATGGATCTCTCCTCCACTCTCCACTCTCTCTCTCTGCTCTCTCTCTGTGGAACCTGACGCCTCCTGGAGCACCCTGCTCTGGTGGTCATCAGGAGACATGGAGTCATCGGTGAGTCATCTCACACATCTCACACATCTTGTTTTGGGCTCGGCAAAAGGCTCCTGGTAGTCCGCGCGCTGCTTGACTCCATGCATCTTGCCTCGGAGCGTGGGAGCGCTTTGAACCGATCCGATGAGCCGTCGACAGTAGGGAGACCTCGAACTGCTATTCTCACTAATCAAGCAAGCACTTGGGATGCTCAATGCACATTTCAGGAAGGGTGGAAATATGGGATCTGCAGGCCGGCCGAGCTGCTTTGCAGTATCCTGAAGACCTCCGCACGTGCATAGCCTTGGCATCAATAGTGCAGAGATGAAGCAACAACAATCCTCACCTGCGCAGGGACGACTTCCCGGATCTCGGCCAACCCAACCCGGAGAGCTTTGGTATCTCAGTGCAGAGCGAACTTCCGAAAAGGACCAAGCCAGTTCCTTGGTGCTCCAATACGCTCAAGCTCCCGAACATGGAAGCCCTGTGAAGCGATGAGCCAGAAGAAGTGGAAGTGAGAGGACTTCTCGAGTTTCGGGCTGGTTAGGTCGTCGCGCCGTCAGCCGGCGGCTCTAGGGTATTTTCAGATGAAGCTGATGGCTATACATCAAAGACGATGAAGGCAAGGATCCGCGAGCGCCCGCGGGTTGAAGCCATCAGGGCCTGGCAACGGAAACGCATTTTCTATGGTGTTTTCCCCAAACAGCGTAGTAACACAGTGGAGTTCGCCGCATGGCGCAGGTGTAAAACAGCTCCCCGCATCCTATCTGGACAGCCTGGTCCTTGAGCAAGGCATTCCCAGCATGTTCCCGAGTCCTCCTCAATCCCGGCTAGAGTCTAGAGGAAAGCATGTTGAATGTCCGGTCTGCCGGTGCTGTCCTGGGAGTTTCCTGTTGGTCCCAAGCTCCGTTTCAGGTTTCTCGAAGCTTAGTGAGAGCCTTGTCATGGTCCTTCCGAGGAGCATCGAGAACGATCATGACGTGTACAGTACCGGGCTCGCAACGGCTCCGACGGGGCACGTCTCCGAGGATCTCCTGTCGATCTCTTGGTGGTGTCCTGGTGGTGTGAGCGGTAGTGGTGGTCTGTCGTGCAAATGTAGTACGCAGAGTGTTTCCCACAGGCTCCTGAGCTCTGGTGTAGTACGAATGCAGTGCGCGGACTGCTTCCGAAAAGCGGGTGTACATGCCGGCAATTGGGTGCGAGCTGCCTTTTCCCAAGCATACTGAAACGAGCCACCGGCCCGGCTGTCGTGACTTCCTGGTCCTATTGACATGCTTCAAACATGGTCTTTCACTGTTTGGAGATCAATGCTGGCAAGATGGAGGTGGTGTGACATTCTGGTGATTCAACGCAATACATGCGCGCGAGATCTCATCATCCTTCTGCCCAGCCTGCAGCGATCCGGTTGCCGAGCTCCTGCAGCACACTGGGCAGTGGGCAGCGACAGGGGCTACGGAGGTGCAGAGGGAAAGGCACGAGAACATAAGATCATTATGTACTGTCGATGGCATGCATATGCATGCATCAAGTGCGGCCACAACCCAGTGATGTGACCCCGGCGTGGCCTGCCACGCTGATCCTTCACGCAGCCCAGAATAGACCTGACACAGTCTCTTTCAGCTACTAAGTAGAACGTCATCTAGGAAGTTAGGGCATGTCTCAAACTCTGACTGGATGTGTTGATGTTCCCATACCCCACGTTGCTATGACCCTCATCTTCCCACACTCTGCAAGTAAAAGAACACAACCCTCTGAGACGGGTCGGAGGACCATCGCAAGTCCTGTGGAGGCCAAAGCATCAGCTGGCAAAGCCGGTAAAAGTGTCCTGGGGCGCTTGCGGCATTTGTGCAGAAAGAGCTGAGGCCAAAAGCACACAGAGTCAGAGGCACTAAGAGAAGCATGCTCGGAGAAAGCAGCGACATGGTCAACGGAGAAAAGCCCTGATTGCCTGTAAGCCATGCCCAGCATGGGCTGCAGCGGTAGGAGCTTCCTTGCCAAGGCGTGACATGAATCTCTTCGAGACCGCCATTCTCAAGACTTGGTTCCCTGGCCGTGCGATTTCACAAGCGTGCACAGTCTTGGCCCGGTGGCTTTTGGCTCTTCAGCTGCACGAACTTGTACAGGAAACGCGCTAGGGCCTCGCAGCTTCAGGAAGGCCATGCGAGGCCACTGCTGCACTGCTGGATGCAGGAGGTGCCAACTCTCGAATTATCGAGCAAAGCCAACATGATCTCTAACAAGTTGAATGGCGCGCGCGCGGCAGCTCGCTTGAAATCGCTTGCTCGGAGTACCGTGCACATCGGACCCGGTTGTGGCCTCGGTTTCCTGCCGACTCAGCAAAGGCTCCATCTCCTGACTTGTAGACGCATTCAAAAGAAGACTGCGCCGCTCCGATCGGCTCACCAGAGGCATTGTTCAAACATATGGTAGATGAATCCCTGAGACCACTACAGTACTCTGTTGAGGGTTCGTTGAAGTCTCGGCATTCCCAGCTGTCACAGGTGATGAAACTCCCTTCCCCAACTCGCCCTGTCCTTTTTCAATGCGACGACATAAGCGTCCACTTTCCTTGGCTTCCGATCTCTGGTTTCGGGATGGCCTGCTGATGCTGATGATGATAGTGCCTTTGCCAGTAGGGACATGGTTTCTAGCATGTCCGGCGGAATTATCGCTGGATATGCAGCTACAGTATCCCTTCGTGCTTTGCCCAATCTGCTCATGGATGCATCTCTGATATGCCTAAACGAACGATCTCGACCTGAACGAAGCAAGAGCGACTCATAAACCAAGGCTTACCCCAAGGCTAAAATTCCTCGCCATGGTTTCTGCTTTAACATCGCTTCCGCACGTTGTAGCGAATCTGGAAGCGGCAGAGCCGTCGCTGCTGCACGTGCCACACGCGAAACTCGGATCGGCCTGGGGACAGCACTTCGACTCTTCCGGGCCGAATGCTCCGAAGGCATGGGAAGCACAGTGACCAGTCATCCCTTCTGCCCCGATATGCCTGTGTCGTCGGAAGAGCCTCTGCTATGCATCTCTGGGGTCTTAGGTTTGTCGCCGCAACCCTTTCGACCTCCTCGACGGTCGAGTGCTCGAAATCCATGCGTTTCCAATGCGCCATGGGCAAGGCAACACTAAAAGCGCCTCGGCTCACTCAGAATGCAAGACCTCAATCCGACTGTCGTGTAGCAGATTTCTTCAATGATGATCATCACTGTAGACTATAGTTTGGGGTCAAGCATGGTCTCCAGCTCAGTGGAGTACGTTGCACAAACATGACAGTGAAATACAGGCATCATCCAAGCTAGTTCCGCTCAACATGCCGTCCGACAGACGCAATGACAGAACCGCACGAAAAGCTGACAGCCAAACATTTTCAAAGACACCTGCGCATGCCAGCAAGTATGGTTGCATGTAGGTGTACATACAAGATGCGATATATGTTTGTCTGTATCGCGGATAGATAGACAAATAACTGGGAAGCAAACAGGCAGGCAGGCAAGCAGGCCAGGCAGGCAGGGAGGCAGCCAGGCAGGCGGCATGCAGGCAAGTTGGCAGACAGATAAATAGATAGATAGATAGATAAGTATTCGTGTATGTATGTCCCCCTCTATCTATCTATCTATCTGATCTGTCTGTCCGTGCGTCCATCCGTCTGTCTGTCTGTCTCTGTCGGTCTATTTGCTTGTGTCGTCTGTATGTACGTATGTATGCATGTATGTACTTATGTATGTATGTATGTACGTATGTATGTACGTATGCATGTATGTATGTACGTATGTACGTCGGTCTGTATGTATGTGCGTGTGGGTGCACGTCTACATGTAATTGCACGTGTAGTATGTGTTTGCAGAGAGACAGAAAGAGTGAGTGTAAACAAATGTGACTACGATATATATATATATATATATATATATATATATATATATATATACACACACACATACACATATGCAGTGTGTGTATAGATATATATATATATATATATATATATATATAATTAATGAGAGTGTCGGCGTTGGGGGGCGCCAAATCGTCTGTTCCACTCGCTCCACTTGCTCCACTCGCTCTACCGTTCCACTCGCTCCACTCGTGCCACTCGCTCTACCGTTCCACTCGTGCCAGTCGCTCCACTCGCTCTACCGTTCCACTCGCTCCACTCGCTCCCCGTACTGTAGTCTATACAGAGTGACCGCAATGTAATTATATTTGTATACACACACCTGCATATGTGTATACTGTATATATATATATATATATATATATTTACACATTATGTGTGTATGTTTGTGTATGTTCAAGCGTGCGTACATCCTATGGAGTACAGGCGTTCCTGCCTTCTGTCTCTGCGTGACTAGGTAACTCTTGTACTGTCGAAAACACTTCAACTTCCCTTCAACAACTCCGAGGGCGCGGAACTAGGTGCCGCAAAGATGCTACCAGGCAAAGGCGTGCCAGCCGTCGCAGGTCGCTTGCCATGATGCTGATAAGATGGAGCAGGATGTTTAGTCTTGGCTTGATTGGTCTTGCGAATCTTGGGCAGGGGATGCTCACGGAGTATGACAGTGTGGTGCTCGTGGCTTGGAAACAGGATCTAAGGAAGACTGGCCTTCCTCCTCGAGCTCAGAACTGACTGGGCCCACTCTTGATGCGCTCTGCTCGAGGAGTAAGGACTTGGGAACGCGTCCGGGATCTTTGCCGCGGACTTTGCAGACTTCCTTCAAGGTCTGAAAATGCTACGCACACGACGAATTACAGAAGGTGCAGACAACTGCAAGTAGCGCTACCATAAAGGAAGCTTTGGCAATGCAACACCCTCCGCAAAATCCCGGTGAAGTTGCCGGCGCCACGCCAGGAGCAACAATTGCGTCAAAGCAATGCCATGCAAGAAGCAGCAAAAGACTCGGAAGACCAGGCTGCACCTCGGGCTTGTCCATGGCATATCCGTGAAGCAAAGCCTGTGCCTGACAATAAGCCAGCAAGAAAGAAAGCCCGAAAGGATCAAGCCCCTTTGCTTGCCTTCTCGGCAGATTCACGAGGTAGCGTGGTATTCAGCTGCTGCAGAGCCTGGACAACTATGAAGTGCGCATCTCGGCGAGTCTCTGCAGTTCCGGAGGTCGAGGCAGCTCTGGCCTTCTCGAGCATCTTGGAGTAGTCGGCAATCCTGTGCAACGAGGCAGCACAACCACAGCACATATCACCATTAGTCGCCGTCATTTTCTGGTCGAGTGGCTTTTGACTCCGCTCGGCTTCTGCACGAACTGCCTGCCAAAATCAAGGGCTTCTTGACGACACGACGCAGGGGCCTGCTAAGCAAAGGCGCCTGCACCTGCTGCGCCTGGGCCTGGGCCTGGGCCTGCGCCTGGGCCAGGGCCAGGCCGGGAGGGCCAGGGAAGCTCTGAGCCTGGCCGTACTTGTCTCGCCAAGTGAGGAGAGGCAACGAGAGCAACGCCCTGCGACCAACCCGCACCTCTTGTGCCACACGCCCGGGAGCCTGCACCTGCACCTTATGAGAGAAGGTGCAAGCAATCAGAAAAGCGCCTGAACAGATTGGTCTTTCCAGCCAGCACATGACCGTGGTAGTCGGGAGTGAGACTTCTGAGAGGGCTTCACAGCTCCTGGACTGCGTGTTTCGAGCTCCTCGAATCCGTGCTCGAAGCGCTCCGATGAATGGTTTCAGCGACATGCAAGACTCCGTCCAGGAGCTTAGGCCGTTCGTTAACAGAAGCGCAGAAGCGCAGCGAGTGGCCACAAGGCCATGACAAGCTCGTTTTGCGTTGCACTTTGGGCCAGGCTGCTTTCAGCTTGACGGCCCGGAGCACGGCGGCATGAAGCGACTGGACGAATACTGGGACTCATGCATGAAGCCTCTATGTTCCTTCCTTTTCTCATGCCCATGAGAGCGAGGTATGGCCATGCAAACGGCTTTCGCTACTCTGTCTGCTAGAGACCGCCCATGTCTGCCCGCTCCAAGTGTCTAGGAAGTGCCGCTGTGTTGAGGTCTTAGCATAGAGAGTTTTTTCGCGGAGTTGGAGCTGATGCCAAAGTCTTCCAGTCTCTCGCGAGAGCCGCGTGCTGCACGGGGGGCGTGCGGAGGCTTCACCGAGACGCTGCAGGTACGGCCAGTGGCATCACTTGTTCGGGAAGGCCAAGCCTGCGAACAGGAGGTTCAGTTTGGTGGTTAGGAACTACGAGCTCACTGGAGCTACGCACGGCTCGTAAACCTACGAAGGACGACACAGACGTCTACGGGATCACACAGGCGGTTGTCAACATGCGCTTCCCACTAAAGCGATTGCGATTTTCCAGCATGCTGGTATCTCACCAATGTGCGGCCTTCGATGCCCTCGGACACGCTGCGGAGCTCCGGAGACCCCTCGCAGACCGCAAATGGCGCTGGGGTCCTGAAAGAGCTTTTTGGAAGCGGCTTCGGCTTTGGAGCTCCGAGGGGCTCCGAGGCTTTCTGAGGCTCCTGGTTCCGCTCTCGCTCCCACGGCCAGCCTCCCGGCACTCTCGGATTCAAAGCGTGCTGGGTCTGCTGAGTGGCGAGCCGTTCTGCTGATCTCCAGAAACGCCCAGATGCGCTTGAGGATGTCCGAGCTAGAGAGGCCTGACGCGCTTAGGGCCTCTGAAACTGCTTCGTTTCCGTTGTGTCTGAGCCGCCGACTCGGCAAGCGACGCAGGGTCTCTTGCGCCTCTGTCGCCAACTCCTCCAGCCTGAGCTCAAAGCGAAACCTGAAACCGCCGGAATGTGCCTTAGAAACTCGGAGAGAATCTGAGAGACGATGCGATGAGTGCAAACGATGCCATCGAACGGAGAGGCGGTCCCAGCGGCTGGCATGACCTGCAACTTCATCGACTTCGAGGTCTGACCGACCTTCTGATGGGAAAATTCCTGGTCCGCTCAGATCCCTGGGGCCTATGACCACAAGACCTTCTCCCGCCGCCGGGCCTCTGGTGCCTTCCGTCGGCAACTGCAAGGCCTGCGCGTGGCTGTGCCCCGGGCCGCCGCGGGGGCTTGGCCGGGGGCCGGGCCTGTGCGGTCTCTTCCTCTGCGACGAGCTCTTCCCGCAGCAGCCTCAGAAAGGAACGTCCGCTCACGAGAGCTCTGATCCGAAGTTCCGAACCAACGCAACCCCCAAGCTTGCTGTGAGCAGCATGGATTCGTGAAGACGATGCAGGAAGTCGGCGCCGGGCCACGTGGCCTGCAAAGGAAGCGCCAGCCAAGCGGGCAGGCGAGGCCCCAGAAGTCGCCGCTTGCGCTGGGAAAAGCAGAGCAACACTGAATTTCCGCCGCCTGAGTCTCGAGGGATGTGAGAACCAGCTGCTCGTATGGAACCCGCTGCGACCTTTCACAGAGTCTTGCGGAGGGAGATTAGCTTCACCCGCCGCTTCTGCTGTGTGCATGCCCATGGCCCATGGTAAATGCGAGGCCTGCTGACCTTTGAATGCGATTTCTGAGGATCCGAGCACCTTCGTGCCATCAATCTGCTCGTACAGGAGGTTGCACCTGGAAGTGTGGAGTGGTAGCGTATGCAAGAGATCAAAGCCTATCCAGGCTGCACAGCGATAACCATAGACAGAATAAATTGCAGAGGAGTCGCGTCAGAAACCTGACGCTGTGGTGATAGCCCGGCAAATTAAAAACCTGAGCTCGAGTTGTCTTGTTCTGACTGGGAAGGCCCCCAAAGCAGCACAGCACCTCTGACGGTAAGCCGCCCAGTCATCAAGGAAGCAAGCCACAAAAGGTCCGCTGGCCAACATATCCGGGCACACCAAACTTTGACAGCTTCTCAGACAATGGCTCAAGGTTTCTCTGCCTTGCGGCAGCTATGGCTTCTGGGTGGGTTAGACCGCAGAACAACATAGCACCTCTGACGGTAAGCCGCCCTGTCATCAAGGAAGCAAGCCACAAAAGGTCCGCTGGCCAACATATCTGGGCACACCAAACTTTGACAGCTTCTCAGACAATGGCTCAAGGTTTCTCTGTCTTGCGGCAGCTATGGCTTCTGGGTGGGTTAGACCGCAGAACAACATAGCACCTCTGACGGTAAGCCGCCCTGTCATCAAGGAAGCAAGCCACAAAAGGTCCGCTGGCCAACATATCTGGGCACACCAAACTTTGACAGCTTCTCAGACAATGGCTCAAGGTTTCTCTGTCTTGCGGCAGCTATGGCTTCTGGGTGGGTTAGACCGCAGAACAACATAGCACCTCTGACGGTAAGCCGCCCTGTCATCAACGAAGCAAGCCACAAAAGGTCCGCTGGCCAACATATCTGGGCACACCAAACTTTGACAGCTTCTCAGACAATGGCTCAAGGTTTCTCTGTCTTGCGGCAGCTATGGCTTCTGGGTGGGTTAGACCGCAGGACAACATAGCACCTCTGACGGTAAGCCGCCCTGTCATCAAGGAAGCAAGCCACAAAAGGTCCGCTGGCCAGCATATCTGGGCACACCAAAGTTTGACAGCTTCTCAGACAATGGCTCAAGGTTTCTCTGTCTTGCGGCAGCTATGGCTTCTGGGTGGGTTAGACCGCAGAACAACATAGCACCTCTGACGGTAAGCCGCCCTGTCATCAAGGAAGCAAGCCACAAAAGGTCCGCTGGCCAACATATCTGGGCACACCAAACTTTGACAGCTTCTCAGACAATGGCTCAAGGTTTCTCTGTCTTGCGGCAGCTATGGCTTCTGGGTGGGTTAGACCGCAGAACAACATAGCACCTCTGACGGTAAGCCGCCCTGTCATCAAGGAGGCAAGCCACAAAACGTCCGCTGGCCAACATATCTGGGCACACCAAACTTGGACAGCTTCTCAGACAATGGCTCAAGGTTTCTCTGTCTTGCGGCAGCTATGGCTTCTGGGTGGGTTAGACCGCAGAACAACATAGCACCTCTGACGGTAAGCCGCCCTGTCATCAAGGAAGCAAACCACAAAAGGTCCGCTGGCCAACATATCTGGGCACACCAAACTTTGACAGCTTCTCAGACAATGGCTCAAGGTTTCGCTGTCTTGCAGCAGCTATGGCTTCTGGGTGGGTTAGACCGCAGTACAACATAGCACCTCTGACGGTAAGCCGCCCTGTCATCAAGGAAGCAAACCACAAAAGGCTTGCTGGCCAACATATCTGGGCACACCAAACTTGGACAGCTTCTCAGACAATGGCTCAAGGTTTCTCTGTCTTGCGGCAGCTATGGCTTCTGGGTGGGTTAGACCGCAGAACAACATAGCACCTCTGACGGTAAGCCGCCCTGTCATCAAGGAAGCAAGCCACAAAAGGTCCGCTGGCCAACATATCTGGGCACACCAAACTTGGACAGCTTCTCAAACAATGGCTCAAGGTTTCGCTGTCTTGCAGCAGCTATGGCTTCTGGGTGGGTTAGACCGCAGTACAACATAGCACCTCTGACGGTAAGCCGCCCTGTCATCAAGGAAGCAAACCACAAAAGGCTTGCTGGCCAACATATCTGGGCCTAAGTCCGGATTGAGTCACACCAAACTGAACACTTCTCAGACAATGGCTCAAGGTTTCTCTGTCTTGCGGCAGCTAAGACACACCAAACTTGGACAGCTTCTCAGACAATGGCTCAAGGTTTCTCTGTCTTGCGGCAGCTATGGCTTCCGGGTGGGTTAGACCGCAGAACAACATAGCACCTCTGACGGTAAGCCGCCCAGTCATCAAGGAAGCAAACCACAAACGGTCTGCTGGCCAGCAAAGCTGGGCCTAAGTCCGGATTGAGTCACACCAAACTTTGACAGCTTCTCAGACAATGGCTCAAGGTTTCTCTGTCTTGCGGCAGCTATGGCTTCCGGGTGGGTTAGACCGCAGAACAACATAGCACCTCCGACGGTAAGCCGCCCAGTCATCAAGGAAGCAAACCACAAACGGTCTGCTGGCCAACATACATCTGGGCCTTTGTCCGGATTGAGTCACACCAAACTTTGACAGCTTCTCAGACAATGGCTCAAGGTTTCTCTGTCTTGCGGCAGCTATGGCTTCTGGGTGGGTTAGACCGCAGAACAACATAGCACCTCTGACGGCAAGCCGCCCAGTCATCAAGGAAGCAAACCACAAACGGTCTGCTGGCCAACATATCTGGGCCTGAGTCCGGATTGAGTCACACCAAACTTGGACAGCTTCTCAGACAATGGCTCAAGGTTTCTCTGTCTTGCGGCAGCTATGGCTTCCGGGTGGGTTAGACCGCAGAACAACATAGCACCTCTGACGGTAAGCCGCCCAGTCATCAAGGAAGCAAACCACAAAAGGTCTGCTGGCCAACATATCTGGGCCTGAGTCCGGATTGAGTCACACCAAACTTGGACAGCTTCTCAGACAATGGCTCAAGGTTTCTCTGTCTTGCGGCAGCTATGGCTTCCGGGTGGGTTAGACCGCAGAACAACATAGCACCTCTGACGGTAAGCCGCCCAGTCATCAAGGAAGCAAACCACAAAAGGTCTGCTGGCCAACATATCTGGGCCTGAGTCCGGATTGAGTCACACCAAACTT